ACTTGTGGAAGGCCAGGTGTAGAGGTTCTGGGAAGGGTTTCTAGGCAGGCCTCCTTTCACCTGTACAGAATTCCCACGTGATGAGGGAGGCGGCAGGTGGCGAGCCCTCAGCACATCTGCTTAGACCATGCTGCCAGGAGAGCATCAATGTGTTGCTCTTTCCCCAGGCTGCGTCCTAATACAAGACCACAGCCACCCCTCCCGGAGCTAATGATTGGTGGCTCCCGCAGCAGCTTTCCGGGAGGCTGGGGATTTGGAACCAGCCCTCCCTGGGACCGACTGGCCGCTGTGCAGCCTCCCCGGATGCCCGCGGGGCGGCGGCCTCGTCTGGATCTTACTCACAGTTCGACTTTCGCCGGTTGCAAACTCCACGGTCCCTGGGGCCTCAGCTTGCAACATCTCCCCTAAACCTACCAACTTTCTGAAACTTTCGCAATTACTCAAACGCGGCTGGAGAGTTGTTTTCCCTCCCACCCTGGGGGACGCCAGAAGCCTGCGCCGGTCGGGGTAAGGGATGCCAAGGGCGGCAGCCGGGAACCGCTGGGGGGCGGGGGTTGTCGATCGCCCGGTGCGCCTGCTCCCCTCGTGGGAGATCCCAGCTACATGGCCGCCGTCCACCCAGCTCACAAGCAGCCTGGCTCCCTCAGGTCAAGTCCCTCCTGTCTCCACAGGTATCCGCAGCAAGTCAATCCGACCGAAGCCAGGGCCAGGCGCAGCTGGTGCTCTCCAGCTGCAGTAGCCAGAAGAGTTGGTTAAAGCCAGGTTGGACTGAGCATCCAGGGACTGGCCGTGGGAATGTGGGAGTCCAGCGGCGGGGTGGGTGGTTACCTTGCTGTTCCGGGCCGCCGGCTGGCCGTCGTTCTGGAAGAAAAGCGCTGCTCTCGGTGCGCCATGGCGCGTCCGGCCGGGCGCAGCTCTGCTCCCGGGATCCCGGCCCTCTGTGCCCTGGATTCCGAGGCCCCCAGCCGCGCCCGCAGCCCCAGCGGGATGGAGGACTCAGTGACCTCCACCCCTTCCTCCTCTCCGCCCCCTTTTCTACCAGCGCCGGGTAAGGCTGGGGCGTTGAGCTCTGATGCTGCGGCCACCCAACGGCAGCAGACAACCCTCCCAGCCTCCAGACAGCTGCGGAAAGTTTGGCTTTAAACTCAAGTTCAAATGAAAGAAGCAGTTTCCGAAGCTTCGAGACAAGAATCCAGAGGGCCCAGGCAAGTCTAGACCCTGCTGTGTTTGGAGCTGAGGGATGTAGCTTGCAGACTTGAACCTATGCCAAATTCAATCCGAAAGGGTTACAGAAATCAGGTAGGAAGGGCTGCATATTTGAAAGACAGCTTCATAGCAGATATACCCCAAAGAGTGAATAACAGCAACCCGGGCCAAGTGCTGTAAGGGGCACAGCCTTGGGATCCTCTGTCACACGGAGCGCTGGAGCCTTTCCGAAGGGCGAGATGCGTTCCTCAGCACCTACTGGGCTGGGCCTGGGAGCATCAAAGTCTTGAGAGAGTTTCTGGTGATATTTAAAAGAAAAGATGCGCACCTAACAAATCGAGGAGATTGATTTATGATAAAGACATGTTCAATTTTCATTAAGTATTGTGATTTGAGCCATTTTGTACTGTTGAGAGACCTTATAGTATGAGACCTTTTTAATACCATAATTGCTTTTGGCTAAGATCTTTATGATCCACACCTGTTACCAAGGTCTCATTTTTCCAGTCAGACATTTATGTGAATCCATTGCTGATTTTTTTCTCTTCTTAGTTTAATAAACTGTTGTCACCCCGTGTGAAAAAACAGCGCCATAGTGAACTAAACCCGTTTCTCAATTCCAGAACAAGAAGGTACTTCTAAATTCCTGGAAGTTGAAAAGGACCATAAAATGCAAAAGCTAGATAAAATAAATTAGCCATTAACTGTAGAATAAGAATAACCACACACACACACACCCCCGTGGTGGATGTAGGAGAAAAAATTTTAATTGATATTATCATAACATGTTTTAAACTGTTACTTGGGTATGGTCAGAGAACTTGAATGTCTCAGTTAGTAGAGAAATATTATACCTGAATGGCCAGTATCCAAAGAACAGCCGTGTCCTAAGAGACACTGAACACATGACACTGAGCACCGTCTTTCCTTCAATCATTAATAGCAATTAGTCACAGTCCAGTGCATTGATGGGTATCCTTGTGTTTCTCACACTGAACTGAGTCTCTGCAGACATCTTGCTCCTCTCCCTCTTCACCTAGGACAACACTTGGACACTCACCAAACTCTTGGATTAATAAGTTCTACAGTCAGCATTCCCTATAATAGAGTTCTGCAACTTGAAGACTGGAACATCTCCCATCAGCTCCCATGGCTACTGAGCACAGAAAGAAAAGGCTCCCTCATTCCGTGTCAAGTTGTAGCCATTGTGTAATAAATTTCGAATATGTATTTCTTTTGCAACGTACCACACGAAGCACATTATTCTTAAAATCCACTTTGCATTTCTCATTGAAATTACTTTTCAGAATCCCATTCAAGACATATTGCACCTGAGTGTTGATAAAAGATCCTAAACACCAACATATCTTCTCGAGATAAACCATATATGCTAATATTAGCTATATTAGTAAGCTGCTACATAAGGAAGACTAAACAATTAACTACCTTCAAACAATGCACACAGGTGCACACACATTATATCTTGCCATGTGCACCCAAAATCTGATCATAGCCCTTGAAAACCAGTATATCAACAGATAAGGAAAATTAGCAGAACAAAATATGGGAGGAGAGGAGGTGAGGGTAATGAGTCCTTCTAAGCAGTCCTCAGTTTTATTGTTGTGTCTATATATAATTATGTACATAATGTATATTGATCCAATAAATTCAGTGAGAACTTAGCCCCCTGCCAGCAGTGTTTCTAGGAGATGGATATAACTGCTGTGTGAACAAGCATGAAGGGAGCCCTGTTCTGGGCGGCTTCTGCTTGGAGGAGGGACCTACTTTTATGGTATGCAATGTGATGGGATTGTGGATATGCAGGATTCTCTTAATGTTGAATGGAGAGGAAAGCTGATATTAGCTTTGTCACCATTCAAGGAGACACAGAGATAATTTACTCTAAGTATGTACTTAACAATCACCACTCAGAATTAGACCCAAAACCATTTGTTCAAATGTACACACTCAGTGACATTGAAATTGAAGTAAAACTCCCTAAAAAACCAAGGGTGGGGGTGCTGAAAACTGAATTTGTAGTTTTAATAAAACTGCCTCCTAAAACTTTATTAGAACTTGTTGTCTAGACTAACGGAGGAAACATGCTCCAGTTTGGAAGTAATAAAAATAACTTTAGTATTTCCATTTTTATATATACATACTTGATACATAAAATAATATATGAAACACATTTGTGAGTAATAAATTATAAAAACATAATAAAATGAACTGATTACTACTCAGCAAAGGATTATGTTAGTTTCCTAGAGCTGTGTAAGCAAGTACCACAAACTGTATAGTATAAACAAAGGAAGCTGGGGGCTAGGGATGTGGTTCAGTTGGTGTAGTGCCTCCCTAGTGTGCACAAATCTCTGGATTTGATCCCCAGCACCATACAAGAGCAAACACCTAGAATCCCAGCACCAGCACGTAAGAGTTGAAACAAGAGAATCCAAAGTTCAAGGTCATCCACGTAGCGAGTTTAAGGTAAACTAGAAGTGTATTATCTAATCTGGTTGAAGGCTAGAAACACACAGTGAAGGTAACAGCACAGCTGTGCTTTGAGAGCTGTGGGGAGAATCTGTTGCCTCATCTGGCTGTGGTGGTTGACTGGCAGTCTTGGGCTTGCCGATGTATTACTCCTATTTCTACCTTGATTTTCAAGTGTGTGAAAATCTCCGTTACCTCTTCACAGGGTTGTCTTCCAACAAAGACCTTAGACACATTGGACAAAGCCATAACCTACTCTGGTATGGCCTGAGCTTACTTATTAAATCGGTAATAACCCCTGTCTCCAGTCTCCTTTGACTCCTGTCTGACCTTCCACACATCCAGCTTGGCCTGTGGTAGCCATGTCAGCCATGAAGCACACAGGTTCATAAGCATGCTTTTCCATGAATAACGGTTCTGTAACCCCAGGAGACTGCCAGCTCCCTTTATGCCTCGTTTTCCTTATTATAGTGATGATAAAAAGCTCTGTCCACAGTATAGACTTGTTATGAGAATTAAGTAGTTTGAAGGCTACCTTGAGCACCACATGTGGTAGATATTACTACATTTTTACATAACACAATGTGGTTTTATTAGTCCCTAATTTACAACTGAAATGCCTTTATATTTCCTATCATTTGCCCCCAAGCAGCTTCTCTGGACTCTTATATAAGAGACTAATATTTTCAGTACAGGTTAACTTTGGGGAAGCTATTAAACAAATGTTAAACAGAATTCTTTCCCATAAAATAATGAACAGATAGTGATATACAATGTGAGTCTTCTAGAATGGAGACGATGCTCTGTGGATTCCACTAAACTCTAGTCCCATTGGTGAGTGCTGTGTGCAGAGCTCTATTGTTTCCCCTGGGAGCAACTCTGCTCTGTTAACATGGCTCCCAGGGCCCTTCCTCATCTACCCAATTACTTCTCCTACAAGACTTACCTCTCATTCCTCACTCTTAAGAGTCAGCCTGCCTTCTCAGCTGAGAAAATCTGTATGGCTCCATACATTGGCTCCATATATCTTTAACAGTCTTGCCCCAGTCCCTCAGGCATCAGCAGACCATTCAGTCTTCAGGGCTGTGAACTGCACGAGATAACAGCTGTCTATGCTTTAGGGTCACAGCAACTGTGCCATCATCACTGTACTGGCGGCAACTTCACATAATGCGATGCCTCCTCAGGTCCGAATGAATGAATGAAGATTTAACACAGTTGTGCAACCCCATACCCAAAGAAACTAAGTAACTTAGCTCCTTAGAACAGGAAGCACACATGATAAAATCAAGTCTGTCTGACCACAAACCTCCACCTTCACCAAGCCTTCACACTGTCCTTGGGTTTAACAAAACAAAGCACTGTCTTTTACACACAAGGCTGTTGCTGCTGCTAAATCAGCCACCAGAAGGGCAGGTGTCTGACTTGTTTTGGACTGAATACAGAAGGTTTTGCAATAATCCACCTATATTATTTCATAATATCTCAGACCAGCTGCGGCGCTTTTTGTTAACTCTTCATGATGGCAGTATAGAGTCTGAGGGATGGAAAGGAAGGAAAGGTTGAGGAGCAGCTGAGTGGAAGGGAGATGTCCAGGGAGATGACCAGTGGGTAAAGGTACATGCTTCTAAGCTTAATGACTGGAATTCGATCCCCAGGACACACATAATAGAAGGAGAGAATTACTCTTGAAAACTGTCCTCCAACCTCCACCCACTCCTAGAGGAAGAACTCAGTCCCAAGTCTTCTCCGCTCCCAACCCTCCTTGGCTCATGCAACTTCCCTACAGACATAAGTGTCCAACATGCCCCTATACCCAGAGTTTCCCTAGGATCACCAGCTGTTCTGGCATGTCTTCTTGCTGCTAAGAGATTACTAGGGGTCATCTCAAGTCCCTCGCTGCATGTAGTTCATACTTGGCTGCGGTTTTCACATGGACTTCGGTCTAGAGAAGTTACAGAATGCCAGCATCTAAATTCAAAACAAATCTGAAACCATCATGAAGGGGGTGTAGCCATTCCTGGAAAAGTAAAAAAAAAAAAATCACCTCTTAAAAAAACCATTGAGAATAAATCCCAAACTGTAATTCAAGTAAAAGAAGCTTGAAGAGAGAAATAATCAAAGACTCACTGCTTCTCTAACTCAGTGCAGAAATGAAATGGCTTTCCCTTTAAGATGGAGCCATTTCCACCCCGGGAACAAGAATACCAAAGAACGTGACTGTGAGGCTGCACTCTTGAACACCCAGGCTGATGCAGTTTCATGGA